AATTTAATTTTGATTATTAAATTACTTTGATGCCCTATTAAATATTTTGGGTTTTTTATTTATGAGTTTTGGGGTTGGGTTTGTTTTAAGAAATTGATGACGGTTTTGTAATTTAAAAGAAGTTAAAAGCCTCTTTGTTATGTTGTAAATAGGCTTTGGGTGTGTTTCTAAAGTCCATTTCATATAGGTTTTTTTATTTTTTATTTTATAATTTGGGCCCCTATATTGGGTATAATAGTGAATATCCCTTCAATTAATTCTAAAATTTGTCCTTAGTATTAATGCATTTTTATTATAATTAAAAAATAGTATTGTCAACTTGTATATATGTTCTATTAGCAAACATGAGCTAGCGGTTGTGTTCACGACTCTGCACTCGAGTTTGAATCCCTCTTCCCATAGTTTCGATTACATTAAAATAGAATAGTGCTTGTATAAAAAAAAAACAAAAAAAAAACCTTGTATATATTCTATTATAACTAACCAATATTATTAATAACTTATATAACAACTGAAAATGCATAGAGTGATGTTAGGAAAAGATGGTACAACATCAAGCTTGATCGCTTAGGGCTAATTGTAGCGCTTGTGATAAATAAAGTTATAAGTTTTTTAGTTTTCTTCCAAAAAGAAATTAACTAAATCGTAATTGAAGTTGGATTTGGTTAGGTATATCTTAATGGCGTGGTGGCACGTGTCACATAATTTGAAAATCAAATTTAGTGTTCCTAGCATTATTAATTTACGTATTGATAGCGAGTTTGTTACGCGGCAAAAAAATGAAAATGGAGCGTATAAGGAACACTCGCGGGAACTGGTTTAGCGGGAAAAATAGCAATTGTTTCATCATTTAAAAATAACATCCATATTCCAAGAACTACACCAGTCTGTGAGATATCTGGGATTGAGATCTCACAGGTAGACCTTATTCTGCATTTCCATATAAACCACATAGCCTTATCCTTTTGCAAGACGTTAAAATAGAGGAAGATGCTCACTGTACCAAAAAATAAATGTTAAAATAGGGGAGGTTGGTGTGTCAGCGAAAGCGTTACCAACTTCGTCAGGCTTAGTATACTCGAGCTTATCTTCATAGTCTTCTACACTCTTCTACATCTCTTCTTCCAGCTCGATCTTGCCGTGCTATTTCTTTTTGCTCTCTCTCTCTCTCTCTCTCTCTCTCTCTCTCTCTCTCTCTCTCTCTCTCTCTCTCTCTCTCTCTCTCTCTCTCTCTCTCTCTCTCTCTCTCTCTCTCTCTAATCACAGGTGAAATTTAGATTTTCAGCTGCTGGAAATCAATTTCTTTATGTTTGTTTATAGATCTTACATGTTTGTTGATTTTTATGGTTAGATCCGTTTCTTCTGTGTCCCTAGATCAAGCAGGTTTGTATCAAAATCCACCTAGCCCTAGATCCGCTCACCCTAAATATCAGCTTTCTCCAAATCTAGGATTCCAGCCTTCGGGGGACAAAAGAAAAAATTAAGGACAATGCCGGTTAAGAAGTTATTCAAGCAACACATACCTGAAGAAATGACACTCAGAATTCTCTACAGGCTTCCAGTAAAATCCTTAATCAGATTCAGCTGCGTTTCAAAACAGTGGCTTTCGACAATAATCCATGATCCGGAGTTTGCCAAAACCCACTACAAACTAGCGAGAGAGCAGCAAACCCTCAGCCACAGACTCCTCGTTTCCACCCAGACCTCCGGACTCGAATCAATAGACTTGGAAACAAGGTCGTTTGGAGACAATTCTGGGGTTAGAAGGCTGAGCTCCCCATTCAATGAACCGGGCCATTTACGTTTTCTGGGATCGTGCAATGGTTTGGTCTTTGTATGTCAAGGTTCTTATGAAAATATGTCTATTTGGAACCCGTCGACTGGGTTCCTCCACAACTTACATTTTCCAGGTTTTTTGTCGCAAGGGGAAGTAACATTTTCCAACCATGGTTTTGGTTATGTCTCGGCCACTGACGACTACAAAGTTCTCGTTGCTTGTTATGAGCAAGAAGGTGATGAGGCGATTGGTGAGTACTTGGTCTACTCATTGAGAGCCAACGCCTGGGCAGCGATTGAAGACCCTCCACATTATTACCTCAAGACAGGCTACACACAGGGGGCTCTTTCAAATGAGGCGCTCCATTGGCTCGACCTATTGGACGAACAACATAGACAGCGTATCCTGGTTTTCGATTTGGCAAAGGAGGAGTTTTGGTACATGTTGGCTCCTACTTTTGACGAGGCTGCCGAAGAGGTGGGCGAATTGGGGGAGGACGCCGAAGTCGCCGACCTGGAGATGATGGACATGGATCAGAGGTATTGGACCCATATAGGGGTTTTTCTGGGAGGATCCCTTTGTCTGTGGCTTTGGACGGCGGATAAGATGTATATCGAATTCTGTGTGATGAAAGAATATGGTGTTCATAATTCTTGGACTAAGCTATTTAAGTATAGTGTTGCCGATGATCTCGGTCTTCCTGATATTAATCCATTAAGGTGTTTGAAGACGGTGTTCCATACTGAAAGTGGCACAGTTGTGGCGATATGCTATGACAAAAATGAGTTGATAAGGATTGAGAAGCTTGAAAACGTCGTCGTTACCAGTCGCCGCTATCCAGCTGGGGAGGTTTTGGAAGAAGTGGTGCAATATGATGAGAGCCTGCTTTCGCTTATTGAGTACCAAAACCCAACACAAGGCGGAAATGAAGAGCGAGATTCGACCCAAAATAATGAAGAGGGGGCTTCCACCAAAAATAATGAAGAGGGGGCATGATTGCTTTGCCTGTGTGGAAATTCTGGTTTGTTACTCTTCATTTGAATCTTTGACCTTCTTGTTTTTATTGCTCTTCATATGCATTTTAAATTGTTACTTGTTTATTTCTGCTAATTCATTGTTATTGATTATTTAATTTTTGGATAATGCCTTTGAAACTCAAAACATGATTTTCTTTTGATGTGTGTGCTTCACGCTTTTTTTGGACAACATATGAGTGTTGTCTTTGGAAAAATTTGCCAAAGACACATACACAAAGTGTCAGATTTCATGGGATTAATTCAGTGCCATGGTTTATTGGAGGTTTCTAGAGACTAGAGGGTTAATCTAACTAGATATGTACAATAGATATATCCGCAACGTGGATGGTACGGATCCATTTCGAAATATGATTCAAATTCATTTAGCCTCTTCATACATATGATTGGTTAGAACACATAGAAGACGTAGAACCTAGAAATTGGAAGAATTGGAGAGAGATGAATGAGAATGTGATCAACTATTAGGAATGGGGGAAGTAATTGAGAACATAATTTTTTTTTTTGGACGAAGAAACATGAAGTTAGGAATAGGGAGAGAGGAATGAAAATGGATCAACTACTACCCCTAATCAATCTAGTTTCTGGCTTTATAGGTATAGATTACATATTATATATGGAACCAACATATATTTGATTTCTTATGTGAGGGGAAGTCATGAATGAAAATAATTTCAACACCAACCAAGGTGGTTGGTGTGAGTGGTTCGGCACTCTCATTCCTTAAGAGAGGTCAGGGGTTCGATCCCTGCTCTTGTATGGAGTCACCACTTTGGCCAGCACTTTACTCCTTACGGGCCGACCCGGTGTGAGCGGGGATTAGTCTGGGTTGTGGTTAAGGCTTAAAGGTGCCATCCATAGTTGGAGCCCATCCAGGACCACCTCGTGGTTCAGACCAAAAAAAAAATAATAATAATTTCAACACCCATGTGTTAGCTAGTAAATACAGGAGAAGTAGAAAGTGGAATAATTCTCCTACTCCTTCCTGATAAGTATACGTGCCACTAATGTGCTCGAAGTATTTATAAAATCAAATATTCAAGATGGTTATATCTTTTTATTCTGAAGAGGTTGAACATGTTTATCTTCTGCTTTATTTTTTATTTTCATGATTTCTATTACTCGTCATATTGTTTTCATACAGCATTAATATGTTAGCTCACAAGATTACTCCAAACAACTACCAATTATCTGATGTTATTATGCAATAGGTATTAAAACTGTTTCAGTTCAGATGAGTGAGTAATTAATCAGAGTACTCTCATTTTAACTTATGTACAAAACACCATTTAATTCTCTTCTAGCTAGGTTAAAGTTTGTGACTTGAAGTGATACAAATCCATATAAGTTCTGCTCATTATGACTCAGAGAAATCGTTTTCCGCGTTTTAGAAACATGTTCATTAGCAATGGCTGAATAGAGAGATAAAAATAAGCAAATAAAATTGATGCTATATTGATTCCC